TTACCCGTCCCTTGCTGTGCTCTCTCGTCTTTCCTCTCCTGCATCGTGGGTTGCACTGGAGCATCCCCTACTCTCCCTCGAGGTTATACCCATCCCCTCTGGTTACTTGCATATATTTTGCCTGAACTGGGACTTGGGAGGTTGCATTATGTTGACTATTGCATCAGATAAGCTGTGTTTCTTAACCTCCCTGCAATGGGCTCCAGTAAGACTTGTTAGCGCTCTTAATTTATTATAATAAACAATTGCAAAGCTGGGGAAAGGGAACATCCCTGTGTGTATGCTCAAAAGCCACTGGGTATCTCCACGGAGCTGCGACAGCTCTGGAGACCAAAGGGCTTCTGTTCTCCTGCTCCGTGGAAAATGATCGTGGCTCTGACCTGTGCTGTTGGTAGTCACAGAGGACCAGGCTCTTCTTCCACACGAGCAGGTTTTTCACCTGGTGTAACTTGGTGGATGTCAGTAGGAGTATTCTCAGTGTATGCTCCTGTAAGGCAGAGCAGAGATGTTGGATGCTGGGTACCCGTGCAGACGTCCAGACGGGGCCAGTGACTGCTGAGGTGATACCCAAGGAGTTTTGTTCTTTCCGCGTCCAGAAGAGTTGGTGAATGATCTGTAGTCACACCTGGGGCAACCCTTGGTGTGTAGATCAGGTGGGACCGGCCTGGCCAATTTGCACCAGCAGATGTTCTAGCCCTGAAGACTCATCCCTTAAGTCAAATGGCAACGGCCACTGATTTGTTCTCCTTTAGCCATTATAAATGACTTTTTGAGTACGCCGGATTTCCCATCGTACCTTCCCTCCCATCAGCCCTCAAACACACGGGGCTCGGGCAAGAATTCATGGTACTTTTCAGTAACATCTTATCATCTTCCCAGGCTACTTCTATGCTCCTGCACTTCCAACTTCTTATAGCCTGGAAAAGAGCTTGCCTGTGAGAAGACTGTGTCCGCAAAATGGTACAGAGTGGAAGGAAACGGTGTCATTAATTGTGCAGCTTATGTAAATTGTAATTCTTACAGCCTTCAGGTCCAACCCAGACTAGCGCTCCTTTAGCTTAAAATAACAAAAAGGGAACTGTCAGGATCAGAGCGAAAATATTAGCATGATGAAACATGTTAACAGGTAGCCATTAGCACTTTATGTCTGCATGAATAGTGTCTTTAAGTGTTTTATCGGTAACGGAGCTGGGAGGATGGGCAGAAAATGGCATTCGTTTTCAAACTGGCACGTTGCTTTAATTGCAATTTTTTTTATTCTTGTCACTTGTCAGGGAAGACGTCTTCTCAGTCAGGGTAAGCTCTGAGCTGGGGAGGTGGCCTTGGGACAGGGCTGGGTTTCGAGTACAAGCCTTTTTGCCAGAGAAAGAGGAAAGGAGCTGATAGTCTGGACAGCACCTGTTATTGCTCTTACTTTGCTGTTACAATGTGTGTGAGATACCCGGCTCTGAAAGATGTGTGAGGGATACCTGTGGTGTGGAGCAAAATGTGAGTGTAACGTCCAGGGAGGTGCTGGTCGGTCCAGGTGCGTGAGAGGTTCCTGCTGCCAAATCACGGAAAAATCACAACACCGAGCTCAGCTCCCGGTTGCACCAATGCTTTGCTCGTTGCTGTTTGACCGATCATCGATGGTCACTCCTTAGCGGCAGCATCCAGCAGTTGCTTAAGGGAATGGTAGACATTTATTTGCAGAATTAAAAGAAAAAAGCAAAAAATAGGGGAAAAAAAAAAAGGGGGGGGGGGAGACGGGAACATATTTATCCATTTTTTTTTGGGGGGGGGAGGGGAACTGGCAAATATTTGCACCAGAAATTAAGGAAAATCCTTTTGGGTCTGTTGATAGTGTTGAGGACTGTGGAGGAGAGGCCATTGCCGTCCCCCACCAAGCAGCGGCACGTGCCAGCTCCGACGGCTGGAAGTGACTCCCGCACCGCTTAAGCTGCGTGGTCTTACCGAATAACCCCGAGACCCAGCGCAGCCCTGCCTGTCTCTATTTCCGCCCTCTTTTCCCATCTCGTTGGGGCTTCCCCCCATCGCACGGAGTTCTCCGGCATCCCACTTCTGCCGATGTGGAGGTCCTCGGAAGAAAAAAGATGCGTGCTGTCGCCGGCTCCTATGGACCCTTCCTGTTGCATCCCTTGCATAAACGTGCCTTGTGGATGTTTTGTTTGTGTCTCAGCAACTTGGCAGCCCTTCTTGTTCGTGGAAATGTCAGATCCTGCCTTGTTATTGACTGCGCGGCTGGGTCTACATGTCTCACCGCTGGCGAGGAGCTGGCTTGGGGCGAAGCCTTTCTTCCATGTGCCTCTCTCTGCCTGTTTTCCAGCCCGCGTGTCGATGAACATGAGTTGCCTCCTATTTTATATTTATACAAGGTTTTTTGGGGGAGACAGCCCGCCAGTAGTCAGTGGTTTAGGTTGCTTCGTGCTGAAGAAGCACTTAGCGGTTGCTCAGCTACTTTTGTTGGTGATTTTGGGTTTCTCGTGAGGTTTTGCTCCCGGGTGCGTGTGCGGGCATGGGTCCTGCTGTGGGGAGGGCCATCGGTGCCCTCTGTGTAGCCTGAAAGCCTTGAAAATCTCTGCCCTGGGTGCAAACTGTGCCTTTTGTGCACCAACTTTTCATCCTCCCTTCCTTTCTGCTTTCCTTTCTGGCGAAAATATAACAGCGCTGGCAGTCGTAGCATGGTGCCTTGTTCTTTTCTTACGGGAGCGCTAGCTTAATGGCAAAAACATGGCCTGGACGCCGCTCTACGGTCTTCAGAAAAATCTGTTTGTTTGTTTTTCCCCTTCCGCTCTCGTGCAGCCGGTGCGAGGACGGTTCCCACCTTTCTGCCATATGTTTTCGGATGGCTGAATTCTTGCAGGACGGTAGCGGGGTTTGCACCTGGGCAGCCGAGGGCCACGGGCGCTTGGTGGGTCCCATGCTGCCCTTGGTCCCAAAGCCATGTGCCTGCGGCTGCCGCAAGCTAAAATTATATTTCCCCTCCCCTCTAGATCTTACAAGGTTTTTAACCATATGCACTTCAGTAGATTTTAACTTTTTTTGTCTCGAATCTAAGCAGCATTAATCAACATAAACACTTGCGGTGGGTATAGGTTGCTGCAGTTAACTTATTTTGCATTCTGCCACGCTCAATGAGCGTTTAATCCCTGCCCTTCTGTCTGTTGAGATATTATGTTTTTTTAATAGTGCTTGTTTATGACTAAGGTCAAAGACAGTATTTCAGAACAAAAATTAGAGTTAGTTCATAATTGAGTACATATGTATGTTACTGTTTATTTTTATAGTTTGCTAATTTATTTTTAAACAGCTCGGTTGAGCCAACATGTTTATAGGTCTGTTTATCACATGTCTTGCCAGTCGGAGTGCTAAAAGACACATGCTTTTCAATAGCACAGATCCAAAGTTAAATTAGATAATACCGCCAGGTAGCAATTTAATTACATTAATTGAATGTTTAGGTTGAAATGTAGTTTTGCAAAGGCTATAATGGAATACATTTATAAGTGTCTGCATATAAATCTTGACATTTAAAATGTTATTCGAGCCTGCCGGCGGGGAAATGAAACTCCGTCGAGTGTTTTTGAGGGAGAAATGGGGTACTTCGCCACGAGTGCCGAAGCGCCTGTGCTTGCAGTCGCTTTGGGTTTGCGCACCGTCCCGGCTGTCGGCGCGAACATCTGCGGGTGCCCCTTCCCGTAGCAGGAGCTCACGGGGAGTTACCTGGCCGGGCGGCTGCGTGGCCTGATGCGGTATGCTGGGGTCAGAAAAACAACCGCCCATATGAGTCCTGATGGAGAGATAAGGGGTGAGCCGGCGCCTTGCAGGAGGGCAGAGTCGTACGTTAGCCGACACGGAGAAAGTGTTTGTCCGGCTGAAACCAAGCCCTCTCGGTCGTGCACCGAGCGATTTCCCAAGCTTCCAAGTACCGGATTGTACCCGCGGGCTCTGGCCGTGGGCTGCCTTCCCTGGCCGGGGAGCTGCCGAACAGCCTTTGAAAGCCAGCTCGGAGGAAGCACCGCCGAAGAGCAGAAGCTGTGAATGAACCACGCTCTCCAGCCCGGATGGGGATTTAATCCTCAGTGTAAACATTTTCAAATAATGTATTGTCAGGAGAGGGAGAGGGAGAATTCCTCAGTTTGACGGTGCCCAAGAACAGCAGGCTTGGTTAGGACAGGACGGGAGAAACGGCTCTCGTGCTGTTTGGTTTTGCTTACACCAGCGGCTTCTGCACGCGCCCATTTCCAAGCAAAATATTAAAATCCCGGCATTTCTAGCGGGAGCGGGGCCGGGCTCTTTGCAGTTCCCTTTTAGTATCCGGAGAGCTGAGCAAGTCTAGTTTCAAAAGAAAAAAATAATATAAATAAAAGGAGCAGGAGGTCATAGGTTGATTTTTATCGGGGCTTAGGGATAGATAAGGGGTAACCAGAGGAAAGTCACAGCTTGTGCAACATTCTTGTGCCATGGTGGGCGATCTCCTTTTGGGTGTCTGCATGCTGGGAGGGATGGAGGAGGAACAGGGGGAATATGCAAGACCTAAACACCCAGGCAGTGAGAAGCGTTCGGAAATAAGCTGGTGGTGAGCAGGCCCCTGGCATGTCTCAGGCTCTTGTATTGCAAACAAGCCAACAAAAATGCATCGGGCTCAGCACTGGGATGTTTCCGTCTGTTTTGTACATATACTTGTGTGGGGGGACTCGGAGCCTCTCCCTGGTGCTTATCTGGGTTGGGATGGTCAACTGAGGTGTGGGTTTTTTCCCCAGATCACACCTTTGCTGAGTAGGTGATCTCTCCAAATACTCATGCCCAGACAAGGCATGGCTGAGGCAGGGGCCTGGGGGCAGCAGGAATAACTGTGCAGGTCCAGGTCACCACAGACCTTCTCTGAAGGACCTAAGGCTTTAGCAGGTGGCTGAGGAGCAGTCGTGTTGTTCTTCCCAGTCTTACTCATTGCTTTCTCCAGCACGTAGCTTTTCTACTCGGGCTTTGCTTGGACCCAGGTTTCATCCTGCGGCCTTTCGTACACCTGGGATTAGCTCCCAGACACTGTCTTTGGGAGCCCTACTCCATCCTTGCTGTGCTCTGGTGGGTGGCCCGAGCCAAATGTCCCCACCAAACTCGTTCAAGACTGCCTACAGGACCCGTCGCTGCTTTGGGCTTCTGCACTTGCAGTGGGGCTCGGAGCGCGTCTGGCACGCTCCGGGGTGAAGCCTTCTGCTTAGTTTCCCTTGCAAAACACCTGATAAAAATGCACACAAACTCTTCGCTGCACTGAACCCAAACACGGCAAGTGGGGCCAACCGGGGCACCTCCTTCAGGTGAAAATCCTCGTGTAGGTACAGCCAGTGGTGCTCTTGTGCTAATGCAAAACACCCGCACAGATGAAAGGAAGGGATTTTTCTGGTTGTGGAGACTAGGTGAAGTTTCCTGATCCAAGCAGGAGGTTTCCATGCCTGTGAGAGAGGTTTTCATGAGTGTGGCTTCAGTACTGGCTGGAATTGAGGCGAGACGCGAGTACAGACAGAGCCTGGAGGAGCAGAAGGGGATGCCACGGTCCATGCTTGCACAAGCCAGAGGAATTAGTAGGTAAAGATGCGTGCGTGAGGAATACATAGGAGCATTGGCAGAGCTCCCGGTGACTGGCCTCACCGTTTGGGTAGTGGGTGCCTGCTTTTCTCTTTCACAAGCTGTAACAGTTTTTGCCTCATCACCTATACTACACCTCTTGTTTGCCCCTAGTCCTGAAGGGCTAACGTCCGCTTCCAGTCCCGTGCCAAAGGACAAGTAATGTTGAAACGCGGGTTCTCAAGTCGAGGTGCCCCCAGTGAACCTGGCATTTGGGGCAGTCGTGGGTGGCGTTTTCGAAAAGTCAGACTTTCTAGAAAGCCCCCAGGATGGAAGAACCCAAGAGCTCCAGTTTCTTCTCCATCTTTCAGATGAAGGGTGTGTTCCCTTGTGTGTCCTGATGGACCTCCATGGTAGGGCCTGGCCTCACGGGCCAGCTGGCTTCTGCTGAAAAACCACAAACCAAAGTGATTACTGGACATGTTCTGAAGCCCGTACAAAAATATTTAACTCTGTTACTAGCATTTGCTTTCTTTTCCTCTTGCTTTCCCCACCGATCTATAAAGCGCTGGTTCTTTGAGGGCCTGATTTGCATGCGAACGTGGGGCGGCCGTTTATCCCCTCGTTTGGTAACTTGTGACTAACTGTCTTAAAAAGCTCTTGTCAGTGGGGTTTTCTCATCCTCTCTCTTTTTAGCTGAAAATGAGTGACTGATTTGGGTTTTCTTTGTCTTGCAAAAGCTCACCTCTAGCCTGAGACCAACCAGGGAGAGTTTCTGCTGCAAAGAAAAAATAGTCCAAAACCAGAGGGTTTCAATGAAAGTCTCAACGTAAAACTGAAGTTACAGCGGCCACCACCAGGTGATTACCATAATGCCGGGTGCTTATTGCTCGGCTTGAGGTTTCCAAATGCTTGGGAACGATTCCAGCTTGTTTGGGCTCGGGAACAAAACCTCTCTGAGATGCCGCAGCCAGGGTGGAAGGGATCCAGGGAGCTGCGGGAAGCGGCGCAGCACCGTCCCTGCGCTGAAGGCTTGTTTTAATGGCTAAAGCTAACAGAGCATCCCATAGCGTTGCGGTAGGAATGTTTGGAGGCTGAGTTCAAAACGCTTATTTAAAAATGATCAGTCATGGCCTAAAAGCTGCCTTGCTTACTTACTTCAGGAAGGAGAGTGAGAGGTAGGACTGCTGTGTTAAGGATGCTGAAGTGGTACCTGCTTTAGGATCAGATTGCAGCCTTTTACATTGGAGGGCACCTTCCTTCACCCCCGATTCTGCTGGCATCCTTGTGAACAAAACCATCGCTGTCTGGGCTATGACTGAAAAAATTGGTATAATAGAGAACGGCTACATACACCCTTTTTGGGGTTCGCAGAGGTTTATGCAGCCTAAGGCGTGAGAGTTGAGCACGGGAGCAGATGCACATGCTCCGCAGACGGTCTTCTGCTCTTCGTTTCGTTTGCGGTGGGATCTGTGTTTGCGAAGATCTTTTTTTTTCCCTGAGTCTTTGAGGGTAGTCCACTTAAAGGACTCACGGAGCTGTATTTTCTTTACAGTAATGAGGCAGCATGACATAGCAGTCATGGGAAATCCGATAGACTTGGGAGACCCTAGGAGGGTAGAAAATTACTTAATTTACTTTGTGTGCAATAGTCTTAATTTTCAACTATTTGAACAACTGATTGCTGGGGCAATCATCAGATCTTCAGAGTTAAGATGTTTCCTGCTGGAACGGAGCATTAGCTAAATCAGCGATGGCTGGGGATGGTAAAACGGAGCGATTGCGCGTGTCCATCTGAGGGTAAAGAGAAGATTAAAACCAAATCCCTGAACCTGAGCGGCATTGCTTTTTCGTTTTTCGGGAAGGGTGAGGCAGGTGAAGCTCACTTGGTCTGGTGGTTAATCACCCGCGTAGGTCCGGCGGTGGCTCCAGCCGTGGCTCCAGCAGATAGGAGCTGGGTCTGGTTTGCTTCTGAGTGGGTGAGAAGCCCTCTGCGTGGCGATTCCCCTGGTATTTGCTCACTGTGAGTAAAAGCAATAAAATCTAGCGGTGGAATTACGTTATGTCTCGGGTGCTTTCTTTCCAAATTAGTAATAATCCTACGTGTCTTTGACCCATTTCGCAGAGATGGAGGGCTGGATTCTGCTGCTCTTTTTTTGTAAGCAGCCAGCTGAAGCGAGTTGACCTCGAGTAAAGGGATTAGAAACTGGTCCTTCGTTAGGGTTAGGTGTTGGAGTCCTTGTGCTGTGAGCGAGTCCTTCCTTGAATGAGTTTTCCCATTGATTTAGACGAGAGATGCCTTGCGTAGGTACCTACTCATCAAGAAACTCGCCGTTTAGCTCACAGGGACGGAAATAGCAGCAGCGTAAGTGCAGAGCGAGGCACCCGCTCACATGGGGAAGGGCAATGGGACCTGCTTTATTTGTCAGGATAGAGCTTGTACCGGAGCAAAAATGATAGAGGACTTTTCGTTATGAAAACTGTATATTCCACTGAAAAAAAGTATTTGTTATTATTTAGAAAGAAAAATGGGCATGAATATTAAGAGACCTCCTCCTGCCTTTCCGTGCCAGCGGAAAATGAAAACTTCAGCGTGAAAGTATTTTCTTATTTAAAAAAAAAAAATCTGGACTATAAAATACAATACTACTTTCTGAAGGCTGAGGGCTGCATGAGTGAGAATATTTAGTTACAATGGCAAAGTACAAACATTTCCTAGCGAGCATTCATTGCGTTAATAATAATTAATTAATTCCTTGGCTAAAATGTACGTCCTGCTCCTGTTCTTCTAGTGGGCTGGGAATCCGATCCCACTTTTTATTTCATTTTGCTGACAGCCGCCCAGCAAGTAGGGAGGGTAGAGGATGGAGACTATATAAACAGAGGCTTTATGTTTCGCTATGTAGATGGTTACGTCGGGGTTGCACGGTTTTGGATAGCAGACTTCTGCAAACGGAGGCGAGGACTTGAAGCAGATCAGCTGATTCAGGGGGACCGCGTATCTGACTGCTACAGCGATAAGTGTCTGTACAAATATTTATACAATCCTGATAGTCTTTTGAATTGCATTATTACAACACAAAAAGCTGTCAGATTTCCAGGGTTTCTGAGGCGTACTTCTTACGGCTTGCATACATTTTGCCAGGGGATGCGAGCGAGCTCTGCTCGTGCTCAGAGCTGGCTGGACTCGCGCCATTGCCCAGCCGGGAGCAGGGTAGGTGCTGAGCCCATGCAGCACCCAGCCCGAGCTGATAAGCCCTGCGGAGAGGCTGGCTATATTAGTTCAGGCTTAGCACTGAATTTATGCAATCACGTGGCATGGGGCTGACTCAGAGCAGCCGCGGAGTGAGATTGTGGGCTGAACAAGCTCAGGGCCACCTGCAAAGGGGGGTGGAGAGGTACCCCCTGCATTTGAGAGCCATGTTTTGATGCCAGGCTGCAAATTCCCACCTTATCCTGACATGCCGCTCCTCCCTTGGGTCGCTCGCAGAGGGTCTGACCCCAAGTCCGCAGCCAATTGTGGGAGGCTTCCTGTCAACTGAACGTCGCATCAGGCCCCGTATAGGAAAATGACAGTCGTCACCCAAAAGGAGAGATTAGGAGGCTGTGGTGGCTTATGTGCAGGTGGGGCGCAGGGCCAGATGTAAATGGATTTGGACTAGGTGTAGAAGAGAAGTCATCTTGTGCCTTTTCTGCTGGAAGTTAGTCCAATTATCCGCGTAGGTAGGTAGCCCGGCATTGCCGACGTGTATGGTTTGGTGGTGATTCTCACCGCATCTGTGGTTTTTCTTAAAGCTTTCTTGGAGCCATGGGATTACGGGATCCTACTGGCACTCTGGGATAAAACTGGAAAATGGGACTTCAGTCCCACTTCAGATCAAATATATACAGGCAAGGTTCACACCGCTTGCTGCCATGAGGCCAAAGGGCTTATTCCAGATCTACAAACCCAACAAGAGTTTGAGTCAGTGGTAGGGAAGGCTGGAGGCCTCATGAAAGTTATTTGAATAGATCGAACGCTTCCAGTGGAAAGAAGTGGCTGTCCCGGAGTTGGGTCGGAGCACATCAGTAGCTGCCCCAGCCCTGGTGGAGAAAGCCCCATATTTTCACATGCTGATAGCGGCTGCGTGTCCTGTTGCACACTTATTTGTAAGATTAGGAGTTTGGAAAATGTTTGCAAGGTTGTGAAACCGGAGTCCGGGGCTGCTGTGGGCCTCCTGGTGTCCTTCAGCGTCACAGCTCAGGATAGTTTTGTTTTTTAGGGGTGAGTGTGTGTCTTCCAACAGCTGTGAGTGTATTTCCAGAGGTTTCAAAGGAGTGGGCTCTTTACTTCCAGTGCAGCATTTGTTTGTTTTTAGGGCATGTTTTTCCTCAGGGAAAGAAGAGTAGCAATCCCATGATCAAAGAAACAAAACAAATTGCTGTGGAATTTCTGCCTAAGAGTATTTAAATTAAAAAAAAAAATACATGGTATATAATTTATAAATGAGTCATGCATGCCTCAGCTCTGGCCTCCTGGAGCAGCGTCCGAGATGTCAGGTTCAGCAGCCGGTGCTCCAGCAGCCTTTTACGTTAGGTAGCGGAGAGCAGCATCTGTCCTCTGTGGCAGCCCATCGCCTGGGACCCATAGCTGTGCAGCGAGAGCAGAGCCACGAGGCTATTTCACCCACACCCCCAGCGATCCCCTCCGCTGCTGCAAACACGCTGGCTTGGATGGATGAGCCAGATGCAAGAAAAGGATCCAGTGAGTCAGGGAGGGAGAAATCGCCTCCTGGTGCTCCCGGTAAGGAATAAAGCCAGGTTTTCCATGGTGGCTGGTTAATTCGCTGGGGCTGCTGTGTTGGCCCTGCGCCTGCGGCAACCGGTGCCGCAGCATCCCTCTGCTCACCCAGCTGGCCAGTATCGCTGGACGAACCACGCACAGCGCAGCAATGTGGTTAGCCAGATAACGAGGACATTAGCCCTGTTTTTCTGACTGCGTTCTAACAGGAATAGCCCCATTCCTGAAATATCACCTGCACGTGTTAGGTCAGAATCATCTCATTCGGCCGTGAGATGCGGATTGCTGCTGTGCCCGGCTGTGGCGGATGGGATGGGGTAGCTCCCCTCCCTCCCTGCGGAGTTGTTCGAGCTGCTGTGGGGCAGCGCTGTGCTCAGAGAGGCTTTGCCGGGGCAAGAACGATTAGGGCTGGTTTTCTGGAAGTAGCGGGGTTGCGCTTAAAAATGTCTAATCGGCTCGGGAGGGCTGCACGTGTTTCCCTGGCAGCCTCTTTTAGCTTCCAGCAGGGATGTGGTCTTGCGACTTCAGCATCCCAGCTTCAGAGCAGGCAGACAGAAACAGTAAGTGCTAAGGGCAAGTTTAAGGCAGCATTATTAATTTCACAAAAACAAAAAGAAAAAGTCTGTGTAATGTATTGCTCAGTGTATAGCGTAGCTCTGTTGACCAGAAGCATTTTGTTTGGTGTCTCACGGGCAGTGTCGCTGGAGCGGGCAGGTTTTGAAGCGGTCAGCTGTCCCCCTTGCTATTTCTTCCACAGTCGCTCTGTCCCTCTCTGGGTGAGTGTAGTGGCGTGGGCCATCCTCATCTCAAGTGCCAGAAGTGGTGACTGTAGGGAAACACCGATTTGGCGGGGTTTTAAAAGCTCAGCTTTAGAAAAGATGGGAAAGTAAGCGCTTAAAACTGCGGGATGTACAGCGCAAGGCACATGCACATCAGCTGTGTTTGTAGCCCTGCAGCTGGTTACAACCTGCCTGGGTCTGATCCTGGTCACCCACATGTCCTACTGAAGTGGGCAGGGAGCTGCAGGTGCCACCAGAGCTGCTGCAAGGGGACGGGTCCTATCCCTCGGCTTCTATTTCAGTGTCCTCCAAGGCTGTCCCTCGGCCACGGGGAAGCACGGCGGTGGCGGGGATCTCTGTAGAGCTGGAAGTTCAGACAGCAGCAAAACTGGCAGGTAGACAGAGTCCAGAGGGCCTCATCCTGCCCCAAAAGCGAGGGACCGGCAATTTGCCCCAGGATTGGGGCTGTAGCCTTGGTACTCCATGAACAGTACCAAAATCTACATCTGAGTTTTGTGGGTTTTCCCTGCGTACATAGACACCTTGTTACAGCATCTGCACAAGCACTTCTGTGGGGTAGAAATAAAAACGTACACATATGCTTGCAAACATTCATATACGTGAGTGGCCTCAGCACCGAAATGGTAAATACGCTTTAGAAAATTTCCTTTAATCACAGCGAGAGCTTTTCTTCTCCTTACCCAGGGACCGGAGCACGGGTGCAGGGGAACGGACTAGAGCCGCTTTGGCCGGTTTCTCCATCTCTGCCTGGTGCAGAGGGTGGTGACGTGCGCTCCTGGGGATGGCTCGGTGACAACTGAGCTGGGAAGTGCCGTCCAAGGGCCGAGTATTACGACTTTGCGATGAATTTTAACATATCTGTGTTTATTACGAGCGTCTTCCAGCAGTAACGCGTGCCCGGGTGGACAGACGGACAGGCGGTAGGATCCCGCCCCCACGAAAGCCCGCAGGGAGCCTGCAGCAAACCCTGCCGGCCACCCGGCCGCAAACCCAGCTGCTGCCCAACGCGTTGCCTAAACGGGCAGATGTCAACGTTGCTCAATGTGACGAAGACCTGAACGTCTGTTTATTAACGGATAAGATGGTCAGGCTGGCGCGTACGGCACGCGAGCCGGCCTGTGCAACTCCTGTGGTTTCCAACTGTACTTATCGAGGGAGGGGGCTGCCTGCCCAGCGAGGGTGTTTCCTCTAATCGGTAACTTCACATGCCAATGGCAGGCAGATGTGCGGGGGGCGAAGGCTCGGCTTTTTCATAACAGCCGCTTTTGCCGGGCTCAGGGGAATGAGTCACCTAAGGCAAGGCTGGGGAGTTTGGAAGAAACATTTTGCTCAGAAAGAGTAAATATTCCCTGAGAAAGGGTAGCAAGCGAGGACCTCACAGCCACCCCCTTGGCCATTAATTTTCACCATCCAACGTAGAAGGAATCGACTCATCCCAGTATTTCCTAGCAATAAGTTTAGCTCCAGAAACCCTTCCCCCTTCCCTCTAAAGAAGTCCTTTAGAGGCTTCTTCTATTGTCTGCCCTCCGTCCCCGAGATGCTGCGGGCAGTGCGCGAGATGGTTGCGGGCTCAATTTAATGGCATCTCTCCCACTTATCAGACTATATAATAAACATGGCTTTTAGGGGGGATTTTTTGGGGAGGGGTACGAGGCGGGCGGTGAATGGGGAGGCCAGACACCATTGTCTGGCAAGAATGCGAGTCCCTGGGGGCGAGCGCGCCTGGGCTTGCCTTCCAAATTGTCCCAGCATCAATCCTCCCTCCTTTGCGGGATTTCCTTCTCCAGCCGGGGTTTTGTTTCGGAACAAGCGTTGGTCAAACAAGCTTTTGTTTGCGGTCAGTTGCTTGGCACACATACACCATTTCTGGTGGGGGACAATGAGGAAGCTGTTTCGGGGGCAGCTGCGGTGGGACTGAAAGGGAATACTGATGGAAAAAGGGCGCAGGGAGGAAATAGCCGGGTGGAAATTAATGGGGAGTATCTTACGAAGTCCAGGTACTGCAGCTAGGTTGTGAGGGTGGAGGGGAGTCCTTCAATCCAGCTGCCTTGCCCCGCTCACCAGCTCGTGCTGGTTTGTGTTGCTTTTCCCCCAGGATACCCCACCTTGGACCTGTTTCTATGAGCCAGCGAGAAAGTTGGACAAAATACTTGTGACGATGCGTCTAAAAAGCTTTCTTTCAGGAAGAAGTAAACTATTTACGGCAATAACAGAGTTTAAAAGGAATTGTATAAGTGAGACTGACTTCTTTGTCAGCAAAAATTGCAGCAAAACCTGTTCATAGATGACATTACCTAAATGACATTACGTACGTATGTCCTTTCTTTCACATTTCCTGTAATCCTGTTACGGCATTGTCCCATTACCTCAAGCACTGTCATCTTTAAATGCTGTCAGATCTTAACTGGGTGGCCAAGGACATCAGAAAAGGATCGGGGTGAAGCTGATGGCAATTTCAGACCTGCTGTATATACGGCCATTTCCCAGCCTGCCCCCGGACGGGGTGTTTTCTGATAAAACATTCAGGTAAAGTGATGATTCAAGGACTTTTACATCTTTTATGGAGCTGCCGCCCATCACCACGGCGTCCAGCATTCTTTTTGGGGAGCGCAGGGGGAACAGGCGCAGACCGGGTGTCAGAGACGCTGGGGGTGCCGGGTACGAGCCGAGTGCTCGCCGGCGCTTGTTGGAAAGTGCTCCCATCCCCGAGAAACTGAGGACCCGGAGGTAAATGGCTGGAAAATGCCCCTGCGGGACCGCGGGCAACACTTCCACTCCCCGTACAGCTTTTGTGGCATTAACGGCCCTTTGCGAAGCACGCCGAGCTCCTCGGACTTAAGCTGTGATTAAGTGCAACGTCTTGGTGTTAATTGTTTTTAACATTATTTCTCTCTTATTGTATTATTGCTAAAAAATTACGTGAGGCCAATTTCTTTTACTCCAACCGCAAATGTGCCGCTGTGGTTTTTCAAAAGCGCTACGAGACGTGGCAGCAAATGGGAGGATTGCAACTTCTGCCGTTTACCTGCTGAAATGTTCAGCGCTCTTAAGCCCGAGGAGTGGGAAGCGCTGGCGTCGAAGCAGTAGCCTGTTTAAACTGGCAGCCCCTCTCATCAGGTTATAATAGCGATGATGATAATTGCCGGCTCCAGGGGCAGGAACTGTCGTTTCGTTATCTCTGGGTGCAGCGCCACGCTCTGAGGGGCTCCGGTCCCCTGTGGCGGCCGCCGGACCTGGCTGCAGTGCAAATAGCGGCAGCCCTGAACCTGAAACGCTCGCTGCAGACAGAAGTCTGTGGTCAGGCATGCGGAGATGTCTCTGGTTGCCCGTCTTTGGCCCCGTGGGCTGGTTTTCCCGAAAAGCAGAGCTGCCCTGTGGGAGACTGTATGTTGGCAGCAAGGGAAGTGATGCCAGCAGGGACTGACATGTGGCTCCCCGATGAGTCGTCCCGGCTCCATGGATGTAGAGGTGCTGCTGGCAGGTCACAGTGTGCCCCACGTCCTCCTGTGCACCGGGGTGTACAGCAGCATACGTGGGCTGACTTTGCTAGCGTAAGCAGATGGATGACGGAGGTCCCAGCTCCCTTATCCGATGCGTCGTCAAAGTAAAGAGGTGAAGAGCCAGAAAAGGAAGACTCACGGATGAAGAGCAGGAGGGTGGCTCTCTTCTGAGTGGCAGCCACGTTCATTTGGCCCAAGGCAAGGGTTAGACAGCAGCAAGGCTCAGAGTTTAGTCCCAGTGATGCTAAAGAGCAGGGCCTGGATCCCCAAATCTTCCTGCTGAAAAGTAACAGCAGAACAGCCCATGGAGTAAGGGGGCATTTGTCCCAAGAAAGGGTATCGTGATATGACGAGGTAGACTGCGCAGAAGATAATTCACTTAATCAGGTGAGGTCAGGGTTTTTTTATTGCTATCTGTAACTGGTATCTAAGTGCTGGCAGTTACAACATTTAATTGCATTTTCCTCTAAGAAAATGCTTATCTTGCTAAAAGATGGGATTCTCTACAATCCGTTTTGTCCGCTTAAAAACTCTTGTTTCCATTTCGTTCTTTACCATCAGTGCTATCTTAATCCATCCTCCGGGGCCAGTCCTCTGGTCTTATCCTCCGCCGATCCGAGGCCGTGAGCGGGCAAAAGTCTCCACGCCTGGTCTTCCCAAATGAGTGCCGTCCTCGCCTGCCGGTGGCTCTGCCGAGAGCATGGGGGAGCATGCCGAGAGCATCTATCCCTCCTGCATGGGAGACAAGTGACCTGCAAGACGTGCTGGGGCCATCTCACCTCCCCTTGCGTCCCCCAGCCCCCAGCGGGGCTCTCCCTGGAAAGGTCTCAAGCCGGCGCTCCTAAACTGGCCACGGTTTGTGCATTGCTGCCCTGTCTGGCTACTAAATTGATGCTTTTTTGTATGCTGGAGGAGGATTTTTCTCCCCTTTCTAAACCTCTTAATAACTGAAGATTTGGGTGTAAAAGCACTAACTGCACTCAGTTCACTGGGGTTTTTTTTCAGTCATAGCTTGGCTTTTTTTCCCCCTATAGGCACAGGAACCATTTATAGCCGAGGTGGGCCGAGTTTGCAACTTATTAATCTCTCCCTTGCATGTGGGTTGAAAAGAGACACCATGCCTTTATCAAAAGCCAGGCTAGCACAAAAGGCTATGCAAAATCATCATCAAATCCTATTAGAGGTGGAAAATATCTCTTAGATCATCTCATTCATTTCCCTGCCAATGCTAGACTGTTCCTGAGAGTTAATTTTCTAGTGTCTGCCGCCGACTCCCTGTGTGACTGCAGGTCTGTCATCTTGCCTTTGGGTTGTCACTGTAACTTCCACTCGTTTCCTTGCATTTCCAAACAAGCCTCGTTTTGTTCGGTGGTTGCCTGTGTTAGTATTTGCCCTGCATTACGTATTATCGGTGGTTTCTACTCGGAGAGCATTGCTTGCGGCTGGGAAAGGCATCCCCATAGGATGGGGCGTGCTGGGTGCTTGGGGAAGCTCCGGGAGTGCCATCCCCCGGCCAGGGGCTCCATCCCCTGCAGCCACCGCTGCCTGCCATAGGTATCGGGGAAACGAACATCTCAAAGGGAGGTTTCTCTCCCGCAATCGCGGCCGTGGGTTCAATGCGAGCAGGTTGTCCCCCGTAAAGCAATTCTCTTCTCCCAACCTCTGCTGGCGCCGCCTTCGATAAACCCCCACCCCGAAGCCCTGGGCTGGCTGTGACATCCACTTGGCAGGGGAGAAAAAAAAAATAATAATAATTCAAAGCTGGAGCTATTTATAGCATTAAGCAAATGCAGATTTCATCAGGGTTTGTTTCAGAGGAGGAAACAGCGTGTAGGAGCGGAGTAACCTTACTTGTAACTTCCTGCCGGCGCTGGTGGCGGTGATTGAATTCCCCAACACGGCGAGGGTCTGGGCAGCCCTGCCAGCGCCGGGAAGGTCAGTCCGGCAACTGTCACCCGGAAAGCATCAAAACCACGAGCTGTCGATAGCGACCCGCATTTGCAGAAAATCTGAGGGCTTTCTAATTAACTGAGGATCTCTAAATTAGAGCGAAGCCGCTCGACAAGCCCCCTTGTACGCCTTAAGTGTCAGGGCTCAGCTGATCGCCGCATCTAACAAGCGGCTGATTTTTAACAGTAGCTCCAAGACTCAATCAGCTCCTAATGGCTCCATTTCAAAACGTTTCAGTGCATTTTTCATCTCTTAGTCTGGAATTTATGCTCTTTGTTCCCTGCTCAAATATTCTGGCGCTTTTCCTTAATTTCAGGCTTCTGCCTTGCGACGGCCTCTCTGCCCTAACTAGGCAGCTCATCGCTTGCCTTTCCCCGCACGCGATCCTCTGCCGCGGCCGCTCGCTCTGCTTTCTAATCAGTTAAGTTTCAGAAATTCCTCCTTTCTCTCCCCCTGACATATAGGCAGTGCTGTGGGGTCCGGAATTTCATAATTAGAAGGAAGACC